TTTGTATAAACTTTTGCTTTACAATTTTTGTTTAAGAGCTTATAAAGAAAAGAAAAACTTAACACTTTGTTGGGGCCCCTGACCCATTTCCCTCTTGATATAAATTGGCTAAACGTGTCACAGACATTTGCGTTATTGCCATGCCAACCCATCTGAACCCTCCGTCCATCCATCCGATTCTGGCCACCACCTCCAAAGCAGTCATCTTAATGATGTTTTTGGTGAGAACTCTCTCTCTCTCTTGGTTTTTTCTCTTAATTGACATGGGTTGCCAGATACATATTTATATAGATATTGGTTATTTGGAAGGCCCTTTCGCAATGATGTTGTTGGTTGGTGTGTTCATATTTCAGTATCTCCGTTGGGAGGCTATCTTTCTTTCACCGTATGACTTGTGTGTATTCAACGTTTGTGCCAATTTTTTCGCTTCGCTGCCAACCACAAGAGCAATTCATGATTAATGATGAGTTTTAGTTTTCATTTATTCAATTTACCTTGCCATGAAAATACACTTGAAAAGGAGGTAATTCCCTTTAAGTAACTTTTCAACTTAGTCTTTAAATAGTATCAAATTAAGTTTAATATGGAAATGGAATTCATGAGTTGTGTAAATATATTTTGTTTTTAAAATGAATTTTCAATTGTTGTGGCATTCTTAATTGCCAACAATGTGAATGTAATGTGCTGTAATTAATTTACACAGAACAACATTTTTTTTTGTGGTTGTTTCATTTGATTTTATTTACTTTAACTATTTATCTGCACATAACTTTTGTCGTAATTCATTTAAACAAAATGTGCGGGGAAACAAGTAAAATTTATGCTCAGATAAAATATGCCATAATGATTTATTGTTATTGTTATTTATGAGCTTTTTGTTACCTAATTTTTTAACCTTATTAGAAATAGAGTAACCCCTTGGACTCTCGAAGGTGACACATTCACTTTTAACCGAAAAACAAATACTGTTATACAACAACTTTTCGCATCATTTCACGGAATTGTCAAGTAAGGAACGGCAAGTTTTTGCCAACCGAAATTGAACCCGGGCCAACCTCCAAAACTTTGGGGAAGCCCACGAAACCAACGACCTACAAGGAACTTGGCTTGTCTTACCTGCTGCTGCTGCTGCACTTCCATGGTCTGCATTTAATGTGTGTCATTTAATGTCAACTTAAATCAATTGAAATGTCAATTACAACAAAACACGTAACGAAGCGAAGGCCCGCAAAATAAAACAGAAAAGGATAAGCGACCAAAGAGCAGGGCAGAAGCAATGTTTTGGGCTAAGAGGAACTTTTATTTTATTTCTTGTTTTTCCCCCCCTTTTTTTTTTGTGGGCTTTACATTTGCCAAAGTAATCGAGTCGAATTGAAGGTGAAATCGGATAGACTGGGGAATGCCGTCGACGGTTGACATATCCAGGGGTTTCTTCTCTGGTCTTTGTACCCATTACCGGTTCAATAAAAGGGGTATATTGCATTGAAGTAGATATTTAAAACCTTTAAGAACTTATTTCTATCTCTACTAAGTAGTCATGTCGATATGAAAAATTATAAAATAAATTGAATAAAAAATTATATAAGGATTTTTAAGAGTACGTTGAACGATTAGCATCTATAAATATACTTAAAATAATTTTACCCGTGCAAATATTTTGTGAGTAAGCCAGGTATTCCTTGGTAGGGGCAATCCGACATCTATTTTTAGGCTCACGATGTCTCGCTTTGGGTGTCACTTTGGAAACAGGTTGACATCAAAGTTTCGGTGCTCTCGCAGTTCGCAGTTCAAATGTCGTCGTCGTCGTCGTCGTAGGCTGGCTCCAAATATCCTTCTCCACTCGTTTTCCGTCTGCTCACCAAATCCGTTCAAGGAAACTACGGCTACAAATTGCCGAGGACGTAGCTTGGTTTGGTTACTTAGACCAGGAATTAGCACAAAAGAAAAACTCGAGGGATAGGGATTGGGTAGGTGAACAAACATGAAGCGAACTGGCAATTACACAATCTCTTTCAACAAAGGCTAGAGCAGAAAAAAAAAAAAAAAAATTGCCAAAACTCTCCGTCGTCGCTGTCGATTTGTTTATATAGTTTTTGCAGTTGTGTGTTATATATCTTTTTGTCAATTTCTTTCTTTCTTTTGGGTTTTACTTCTCGTATTTTCTTTCTTTGTTGATTTTTTACTTTTCATTTGGATCGTTATGCAAACGGTATTCGCTTAAGGTAAATTTTAAAGACGATGTGTGTAGCTTTTGCTTTGGGTTTTCCCTTCAACTGTGATTTCCATTTCGGGGGGCTTTGAGGGAGAGCTTAGCTTACCTGTTAATTAGAAAGTTAAGAACGTGAAAGGAGGGTAACTTCCGAAAATTATATACCCTGTCACTTGTAACTAAAACATTCTGCAACTATTATTAGAGTTGGATAACTCTACTATAAATGATTAGTATCAAAGTTCCTTTTACTGGATTTTTTTTTTTTTTTTTTTTTTTTTTTTTTTTTTTTTTTTTTTGAAAATTTTAATAGCCTTGCATTTACTATGTTTGAATGTATATAAAAACATTAAATATTCGTACTTTTGTAAAATGGCACTCCATTATAAAAATTCATAAAGTATTTGAGAACCAGTTTTCTTATGGAATGAACACTGTCCACTTGCATATTTTTATGCCGCAAAAATATAATTGTGAATGGAGAAAGGTGAGAAGTAAACAATGATGAAACCAGAGCCACAAACACAAAAATGCATTATTTTCCCCTTAAATGCTGATCCCTCCGCAAACGTACAAACTGTAAAAAATATCTGTGCATAATTTCATAATGAGGCACTGAACTAACACGCTGGCATCATATCGTCTGCGGTAACTAAGGAGGGCTGAAGGGTGTGCGGCGTGGAAGTGGGTGGCTTTAGCTTTAGCATATGCTTCGCTTGGCATTTGAAAATGCGTTCGCATTTTCGCTTTGAGTGTGAGCAAATTGCTCATACGCCGTGTTGAACGCGAGTTGCGGGCAAAAAAGGACGACGACGACGACAATGATGATGATGACGACGGTAGTGGCGATGAAGAAAGTGAGCGGCATCACGGGGGCAGCTGAGAGCGGAGGCGTGGCACGTCTGCTCATAATTATGATTATATGAGCCGTGATTATTCGCTTTTGCCTGCAGTAGCAACGGTGGCTCCTGTGATTTGGCCTGTGGCAATGACTAACTGACTAACTAACTAACTGACTGGATGCCTTTTCAGGGGGGTGTGCGGGTGTGGATTGAATTGATTGACTGACTGCTTGAATAGGAAATGAGTGAGCGTAATACTCTCCAAATGACTTGACTTAATAGAAGGCCATTTAACCATTTTGATGGTTGACCTTCTGTTAGCAAATGCAGAGAAACTAGTTATGCTTAATATAACTAAATACTACTTATAATACGTGTTTTTAAAATACACTTTTTCCTTTCCATTAAAATACGTTTTTATAAATACTTGAATATTTGCTTTGTACATGTATCCTTGCTTTTGCTGACCTTGTAATACGAATTTCAATAGTGAATTTCAGCAATAGGGTAATTTTTTCGCTTTATCACAGAATTCACAGAAGCTACGTGACCGCAAATAGTAAAATAAATAAAAAAAATACACACACATACAAAAAACAATAGCACCCGAAAGATGCAATAGATGCAGCAGCGGATGCGGAAAAGCATAGAGAGAGAAAGAGCGGAAAACTCATATTTCAACTATAATCTTATCAGCTTTTCGATGTTGAGCTATAACCCTAAAAACAAAGGAGTGCAAGAAAAAATGCAAAACAATTTATATCACAAAAAATAATAAAATAAAACGTAGCTGAAGAAGAGGGTTTAAAAAATTGTGAAAAATGTGTCTGACCAGATTTCTTTTTAAGTTTAACCTTCTGAGGTATTTAGTTTACCTTTTGGTGGATGTTATATACTCCTAAAAGGAGACCCTATTGGAATAATAATACAAAAAGTTATTTATTTCCGCAGGTTCTGTTTAAGTTTAGTTAATATGTTAAACAAATGCTTAAATGCTTAGCAATAGTATTTTTGGTCCTGCTTGTTAAGTAGATGTAAGCGCAAAGATATTTTCCACGAAATTTGTTTTATTGCCAAGCGATAGAGAGGGAACTAGCATAGATATTGCTGTTGGGGAGCACAGGATGTTTGCACACATGGCTCTTTGCTGGCCGCATTTGAGAATAAATTTGCATGACGATGGCGGCGGCAAGCCAACAATTGTTGCGGCAGTGTCCTGCCACGCCCCAGCGCCTCCCACTTTGCAGTAGCAAAAGCAACAACCAACAACTAACAGCAGCAGCAGCAGCATCAGCATCAGCAGCATCAGAGTCAGCCAGTGGCCGCCTGCAGGGATACACTTGCTCATCTCCAGTCCCTGCCCTTCTCCATCCCAGTTGCTTCAAAATTTACGAGCAAAAGCATTTTCAAGAGTTTTATGCGCGTTGAGTGGCAGTGGCGGGGTTAGCCGAAGAGTTGGAAGGAGGTTCCTGGGGACCCAGGGATGGGGACATCTCCTGCCTCTTTGCAGGACCAAAAATTTAACTTTGCAAAAAAGCATAGCACACACAGTTGCGAATAGATATAGACTATATGTAAATATATATATAGGCAAAGAGGAGAAAAAAAGGCGTTTCATTTGAGTTTCCATCTCCTCTTTCATTTTGATTTTTGTGTGTTAGTTTCGCAGTTGTTGTTGATTCTTAGTGCATTTTCCCTACCCCAGTTCGTCAGCCAGCCAGGAAGTAGGAAATTTTCCGGTTTTACTGTTGAGCCTCCTGCTGGCAGGAAATCGCTCCTAGCCTTCGTCGATGGGCAATGGGAGTGCTGAGAGAGAGAAAAAAAAGAAGGAAAAACGCGCACACAAAATGAAAAGCGCGCAACATCCTCTTGGTCCACGGCCTCCACAGTGGGCTCCCATCTATCCATCCATCCACTAACCCCACCAAAGGCAATTGGGTTGACGGGCGTAGTAATTTCAGTTGAGAGACACAGCGCACGACGAGAGGCTCTCTGGCGAAATGGAAATGGAGCATTTATTGAACTTTTCGCTAAAGATATTTTTGTATTTCTCGAAATGGGTTAACCGATGGCGCAGAGCGTAGCGGTGGGCGGAAGATGTCCGCGGTACGGTGGCTGAAAATGTAGGCCGTTTATTTTTGGCCCCTTTGCATCCCCGCAATGGGTCCGAATGAGATTGGGTTGATTCCCGGTAGAGAGCACAGCTCCTGGTGCTGGCTGCTATTACTACTGCTACTTTAAAGTTTTCCGCTTTCCCCCATGCAATTGTAATGAGTTTCTCGGGCCGGTGTGGGTAATGTTTCCAAGGATAATGAGCAGCAAGAAGAATGCTTGGCTATTAACAGGGGTTTATGTAAAAAAAAGCCAGCAATTCTGACGAGGAGATACAAGTACCTATCCATTCAAGCTTTGCATAATTATCATATTTCCAGTAAATTGAACGTTAAAATATTGGTTTACTTTTTGATTTCACTCCTAATCAAGTTCAAAGTATGAAGTAGGTTGCGTAAAGGTTTAATTTAGGATATTATATTGCATTAACTACTTGAAATTGCATTTCTGTGTATAAAAATTGTGAAACAAATTGTGGCAGTGAAATTACTGACCTGCAAGTCAGGACTTTGAGCACCTCTAAGGTAGACTATGGGATACAGAAGAAATCTAAGAAAATTAGTAATTATAATTATGATTAAAAGTATTCAAAGAGCTCACAGTGGCCTTCGACAACTTAATGTCTTGGTATATAATTTCAAACATCTTAAAGCTTTCAAACAAAAGTGCATATAAGTATACTCCACGTAAATTTATTTCTGTCTGTCCTGCAACAGGGATAAAGGTTACGAGCACCATATGCTGAGCTGTTCGTTCTTTCCTTCCCTGTTTGCTGGTTGTCATTGGGTTGATAAATAAAATAAATAAATAAATTATGTTTCCTGTTGAGGTTGAAGAAATTCCCTCTACAAACCGGCGAAGAAAATGAAAAAGGAGAGCAACAATTTGACTTTTAATTTGTCACCTGCACGAAAAATTTGCGGAAATAATTATCGTTCATTCGTTTTGTTGACACACATATCTTGGGCTTCTTTGCCTTTATTTGCTTGTAAATTGCTTTTAATTTACGACAAAACCATACTGTGTCAATGTATGAGCAATAACAATAGCAATAACAACAATAACCATAAGCAGCGACAATTGTTGGTCTTTTTAAATCGTTTGCCAAATGTTTCATGAATCATTTCATTTGTATGGGCTTTTTTTCTTTTCGGAACGGGGTTAGCCATGAGCCATGAGGGGGTTGAAGTGGGCTGACTGGATGGCTGGATGGATCGGAGATTAATAGGGTCGTTGGTCAGAGTCGGACAGCATCGCCACATTTGTGAGAATGGCAAGGCGACCCGCCGCCAGCTGCGGCTCCGATGAAAATGTCAAGTCATCAGGAAAAAACCAAGGGAAAAAATGCAAGGAAAACATTGTGGTTTGTTTATTCGCTTGATTTGTGGTCACCATAGTACACATACTAAACGTGTGATAAAAATCAATGGCTTTATCTTAAGCATGGAAAGCGTCTTGGTTATTTGGAATTACAGTCAAAGACAAGGAAGTTTCCAAGTTAAGTTTAGAATTTATAATCTGAAAATATTACTCATCCGCAATGTTGGTTATATTACTAATCGGGGTTAAGCATATTTCTCTGACTGTGTGTTATTTATTGGTTTTACCATTAAGTAAGATAATCATGTAATTTAAGAAGTACAATCATCTTTTAAATGACCTCCTTTACCTAAAAAGATAAATGCCAAAATGTAGAACTGGTCTGCTGCCGAAGTCTTTGCTCTTACGAGGCGACTGACTGTTATGTGACAGGACTCCCGTTGATGATTATGTTGTACTATACACACACACATATGTATGTTTATACTTATGTGTGTATATATTGTGTCCCCTTCGCTTTTCGGTTAACAAACGCAACAGTCAAAACAGGCAGAGAGCCAGGCTGCCAGTCGAGCAGAGTCGAAGGGGGCTCGGTTCTGCTGACATCTTGCGGTCGTTCATCTAACAACCTAAATAAGTTTCGCTGCCTTCGCTGCTGCCACGGAGAGAATATACTTGTACATTTGTTTGTGTGCATATTTTATTTTTTATGGTAATGGAGCAGACCCCGACCATCATCATCGCCATCGCCATCGCCAGACGTCGCTGCTGCCGCCAACTCACTTGCTGTTCTACTGTTCCAGCGACCGACTGACTCACTCTATGAATAGGCCTAGCCCAAAACAACATAAAATAATGTAAAGGAAAAAAGAGCTGCGTAAAAAATGGCAAGCGGTGCTGACAGGCGGCTGAGAGCTTAGAGTTCTTTTTCAAAAGTGCGTGTGTGTTGGCGACTCTATTTGAGAAAATATCCCAACGCCTAGATTTTTTAGTTTCTGTATTAAAAAAAAAACAGATAAATCTTAAATAGGGCTTCGAGGAAATAGTATTATTTTAGAGGTTTAAAAGCTAAAATTTACTTACAAGATTATTTTTGAAATATATTGATTTATTTGATAGATAACTAAAGGAAATATTAGCTTAAAAACACTAGAATATTAAATAAAAATTCTTAAAAAAATAAACTTTAAAATAAATTGAGAAACATTTTATTTAGATATCTTGGCAAATAGCTTTCCACCGAATCAATTGGAATAATCTTTAAAAAAAACATTGACAAATTGAATAAATAACAAAATAACTATGTCAATATCCTGAATACGGTCTCTCCTATACTAAACTAAACCATATTCCGGGAATTATCCTTGATAATTCTTTATTGATATCATTAAATCTCAGATTTCACATGCATGTCTAATAAATTGCCAAATGATTCACCAATCAATTTCCACTCATGAAATGATATCAACCTTTTACAAGAGCATAGAAATACAACAGCAAACCACACGAAAATCAACAAATCGACAATTTGACAGAGGTTGAAGGGATGGGATGGCTATCAATAAAAACCAAATTACAAATACATAACAGATGCAAAAATAGCTCAAAACAATTTTTATATTCCAGCCGAAAAATGCAAACACTTCAATTTGGGTTTTTACCAGAGGGCAAAGTGGTGGTGATGTACACACATACACAAATTTATTTTTTATTTTTGGGGAAAATCGGGTCCTGTTTGAGTATCACTCATGTGCAATTTGTCCCGAGGGAAAAGCTCTTGCTGAAATTTTGATACAAAAACTTGCTCTAAAAAGAAATAAAGTCAGAGGGGAGACAAATAACTTTCAATGTATGTATATATGGGTGGCACGTGAAGACAGTACGTAACATTATTATAAAACAGAGTTTAGATAAAGGCTAGGTAATCGAATTAAAACTAAAAGTAATACAAAAAATAAATAACAAATCAAATATATAAGACAATAGAATATTTCTCAACATTTTTGAGTTAATTTTTAATTGATATATCAATATCCTTAAGTTCTGTAGATTTTTACGTGGCAAATGCAATTCAGAATCTTTTTTTGAAATTGTTTATATTTAATTTGCTTATTTTTGTAATCCAAACTGCCTTGCAATTACGATGGGCACCTTCCCCAAACTGTATCAATATTCATTTTCTCGTTCTCTGTGTTTATTTTGTGTTTTCTTTTTGCGTGTTTTGTCTTTTGCGCGCGGCAAACTGATGGCCGGGGGATCCCCCTGGAGGAGGCACGGGGCCACATATTCGCCATTCCGTCAGTTGTTCTCCATCTGTCGCAGACACCGGCTACGCCCCGCACCGCAGGCTGGCAGAGGAGGAAAAAAAGGAAAACAAATAATGCGAAAAAGTGGAAATATAAAAAAATAAATGAAAAGCTGAATTTGTTTTGACTGAATGTCACTGCAGTCAACAGTCATCAGTAGCCGGCAGCCAGTCTGTCTTTCTGTCTGTTTGTCAGCCAGCCTGCCATGAACTCTATGACGTTAATAATACAGGTGTATTTACCTTCCTTGATTTTAGTATTTATTTACACACAAACACACTGTTTTCGTTTAGATATATATTTTAATTTGCAATTATTCAGATTGGTTTATTTCATAGATACAAGCTACACAAAGTATAAGAAATGCTTTGCTTATAATAAAGAAAATTAATAAACTTCTATAATATGACCAGGTAATTGCTGCTGCCAATAACATTTTCGGGTCAATATATGTTCCACCGATATTATCCAAAACTCCCTTAATCACTTTGAAACTCCCACAAAACAAAGTCCCTGTGTCAAACCCAAAAACGTTGAAAACTTCTAAACTTTGTTTACTTTGCCACACGCTGTGCCAGCCTTTTATACCACCCACGCCTCCTATCTTTTTCCCATTCAAATAAAATAGTAATTTTGACGCGGGGCAGAGAGAAAAACACACCGAGAGATATAGATAGAGAGAGAGAAAGAGAAAGAGAGGGACTTAGTGAGGCGCAAAGGCCAAAAAAGGAGAAGAAAATTAATTTGCAATGCAAATTACTTTTAATAAATTTTATAACATTTTTTTTTTTGTTCCGTTCTTTCCAGCAAGTGGCAATGGGGATGAGAATGGGGGAGATGGGGGAGATGGGGGCAGCTGTTGCTCACTTCTTTTTCCAGGGGTTGGGCTTTGGTTGGGTGGGTGGTAAAAATGGTGTCCCTCTCATTGCTTGCCAGACAGACGGCAGGCAAAATTAAGCGTCGCAACGGCATTTTATGAAGTGGAGAAGCGACTTTGGCCAAGGGCCCAAGAAATGGGGGGCCACCCCCCGACCACCGGGAATGAAGGAATGGACAACAGGAACAACCGATGACAGGGTGGATAATTTATACCGGGGGTGAAGCGTCGCAGAGGGGTCGATGAGTTCTTCTTCGTTGGAAGCATTTAATGAAACGTGCAGCAGCAGGAAAATGAAACCATGAAGAGAGAGAGAGCCAAAACTCCAGACATTTTTTTGGGCCAACTTCGGAATAACAGAAAACTTTGCTTCATCAGGGGGAGGGAACGGAAAGTGAATACAAAAATGCAAAATGCCTGTTGTCTTGACTTAATTGAAGCTTGCAAAAAGTTCATTGGATATTTGGTAATCGAATATTTGCAAATTTGTGTGTTTTGGATATAAAAAAAGAGGTGTTAAGAGTTTTAATAGATGAAATGCATATTCTTTTATAGATGTAACTCATGAAAGAACATTACGAATTCTTATAATATGTAGATTTACTGTTAACAAAAAATATAACTCTTATGTTAATTACTAATTTTACATTTCTTAATTCACTCCTCGAAATCAACCCTCACAACAGTCTAAAGACTTCCTGTGACACCACAGATAATAATAGTATACTCCATTCATTATTTTATTATTTATTATTATGGCTAATGCCGTCGCGTGCTGGGTCAATTATCTCCCAAGTTTCCACCTCCAAACTGTTCCCACCATGAAAAATTAAGTCTAATAATTTAACTGGGAGTGCGTTGTTACTTTTTCTTATTTGTTAATTTTTTTTATATATACTATATACTTTTTTATACCCTGAAAGAGAGTATATTTATTTTGTTGACGAATTTTCATGGATATGGTTCTCTTAGTAATATTATAGTATACCGTTCTATACAAATAATAAATATAAAAGTAATAATTATACTTTTTAGGGTATACTAAGCTTCGATGCTCCACAACTTTATTGTCTTTCGGGTTTTATTGAACTTTTGTGTTTGTCAATTTTATATAATCTCTTTTCCCCACATTCTTGTTGTTATTGTTTGTTTGCTGTTAATGGCCTTTGCATTTGTTTTCTCGTTCTCTTATTCAGGTTTTTTATTTGTTGACTTTTGGCCAACCGATATTGTTGTATATTTTATTTGCATATTATTGATGGTTTCACTTTTAAAGTAATTTTTCATTTATTATATTGTTTGCCTGGTTTGTTAATAACAAGAAACAAATTAATAATCCTTATAAATCAAAAGTCTGTTATTTTGATGAGTAAAAAATATATAATATATATATATATCATAAAAGATAGTTCAGTTGCTACGTAATCAGTTCCTAAACAAATACATTTTTTAATTAAATTTGCATTATTTCCTTGACTGACAAACCTTTCATGGCCATTAACCTCATAACGCCCCTGGGGACTGCCCACCACTTGCACGATTTATTTTTCTTATTTGGCAGCTAATTACAAATGCCGAGCTTATAAATTAAATTCATATTAAAGTGCATCGGCACAAAAACAACAAATCCAAAAGGAACCGAAG